GAGGAGAGGAGAGGAGAGGAGAGGAGAGGAGAGGAGAGGAGAGGAGAGGAGAGGAGAGGAGAGGAGAGGAGAGGAGAGGAGAATCCAGAGAATCAGGACAGTCCCTTGTTGTCCTGCCCTGTGCCAATGGACTTTCTTTCCTTCCACGCGGACGATTCATGGGACTAGACTTGCCAGTTATGTGATGGATCGATGGCCGTTGTCAGCTGTACTCACTTTTAGAACTCAACAGTATTTTCTAGTACTTAGCAGGACCAGTGTGTCCCCTTGCTCCATATCTCAGGGTGAGTGTTATATTCAACACACATCTCTGGCTCTCCGTGTGCCTGGCACTCCTGTCTGAATTTTACAAAGAGTTAAGTCCTTAAATTTTGTCTTTGTTGCTCCTTCAGGTTTCATGCTAAGGAATATCCATGTTCAAAATTACTCCCTGACCTTTGTCCCCAACCCACCCCCACCACCTTCTCCCCCACCCTCACAAAGGACTGAAAATCCTGCTGGGTGCTGTTCCTTGTTTGAGCTCTACAAAGCCATGGAAGACTGACAGAATCAGGCAGGCTAGATGTCTCTCTAGGTGGCTGGCCTGGCTTCTGCTTCCTCTGAAACCTATTACCAGTAAACTTTGTCCTTGGCCTTCTGTGCCAGTATCCATGTCCCCTAGTCCACTGATTGATCAGCCACAGTATTCCCAGACTGCACAGCAAGGAATCAGGCTGAGTCTGGGCTTGGGGAGGTGCTGATGGACACGGGACACGTGGCCACACAATGGGGACACACGACTGACCTCAGACACTTTTGGTAAAAGATCCCTGCTTTGGGGAGGCGGTAGAAGCAGTTCAGGAACTTCCCTGTTCCTTGTCCCCCAGCTCTTCACCCACCTGGAAGCTCCTCTGGCCCCTTGAACCAGGACAGCATTCAAGGCGTACAGAAGCCCCGGGTTTCCTTGCTTGCTTGTGTTCCATACAAAGAAAATCATCACTAGATGACCGGCGGACAGGACAGCTGGGAATGAACTCTCAGAGGTCTGGGCAGTCCTCACAAGGAGGCCCCTCTGGGTGGAAGAGATATTGAGGCTGTGGGTGAGGGAGGGAAGGTGTGTGAGAGGAATCGGAATTAAGTAAAAGGTTTGGGAACAGGAATTACAGAAGGAGCAAGTTGGGGCAAAAGGAGAAGGGTTTAAGTTTGGGGAGTTTTTGTGAGGTTTGTTGTTGTTGTTGTTTGTCTTATATGCAAACTGTCACTTTGGCTTAGTGTGAGTTCTTATCTGCCTATTAGCATGAGCTGTGGCCAACGGACTTAAACGTTCTAATTATTTATTATGCGGTCCCATAGGGGTCGCAGCCCAGGGCGCACAGCACAAGACGCGGTAGCTGCATTGCAACTCTGGAGCCCCCTCCCAGCTCCAGAGTCCCGCAGATGCAGACTGTGCAGAGTTGATGCAGTGTCTGGAAGTTTGGAATATATTTTCCCCCAAACTCATCCCCCAAAAAGGTCGGTATAGCTCGTCCTGTCAAGGTGACCTGGCTTTTTCCAAACACCAAGTGAGGGGCCGCTGGGATCTGAGCTTGGTAGCCGGTGGACTGCACCTTCTAGGAGTCCGAACAGTCTAAAGATTGCAGCCGTCCCTATCCCCACCCCCTCCTCCAAAATGGCTCATAAAAGGGCGGGGTGGGGGCAATGGGCTGAAATCTGGCCACTCACGTCCACGGTTCTATTCACAAAACAGTTTCAAACTAAGTTAACCTCCGTAGGGTGTTTACCCCTCCCCTTCTAATTGTCCCGGTTCCTCCTCCCTCTCTCCGTCCCAGGCTGTTTTATGTCGCTCTGCGTTGTGCCAACTATTTTATCTTTATTCCTTGTCTTTCTCTGTCGCCATTCATTCCCTTTTTGTGTGTGTGGCTTCTGGGGCCGATGGCGGCTCGTTACCACCCACTGCAAACTCGCTCCTGTCGCTGAGGTGTTTCTATACAAACTGGAGCGTCCAGTTGTCATATTAATTATTACACTGAGTAATGACTGAAATGGTCAAAATAAGGGGAGACTCAAGAGCGCTTTTTCCTGCTGCTCAAAGACGCAGCAAAAGAAGCCGTGCAACAAAGCGCTAATTGGTCCCCAGAAACAGTCTGACAAGGCATGGAAGATAGTCTTCACAGAGCCCCGTGATTGTGCGGGGGCGGCTCTGAATGGACTCCACGCTTCTTTTCTAAACTCGCTTGCTGAGCAAAAAAATGGACCTCTGTTTGAATACTGCCCTGATCCTTGAATGCTATACCCAGCAGAGAAAAAAAATGCACCATTTATTGTAAGTTTTCTCCCCCTTCTCAAGCTATTCAGGGGTTCTCTGTGAAGAATCAGCTGGTTTTGTTTATGGTGAAAGACCTTGGCTTTGTTTTCATTCTTGGAGGAGGTGCTGAGGGGGAGGGAAGAAGAACCATGTGCCTAGACAGAGCTGGACGAGCCTACTGTAACAACAAAATAGAGTGTAACAAATCCTACAAAAGTTTAGAATGTATTGATTCTTTGGAGAGCTATATAGATTAACGACTTTCTTTATGCTTGCCCAAGGAAGGTATTTAATCATAATGTAAATGGGGCTTTAGAAAAAAAATAAAGAGTTAGCATTAGTTCTTCTTATTTGGAGAACTTCAAAAGACCCTGTGAGGGTGCCTGCAAATTACTCCGCCCCCACCTTTCTTCCTTATCCAAAAAGCCACAATAAAATATACTTGGTGCTTGTTTTGTTTTGTTTTTTTTTTTCTCCAACTTTTCTTTTTTAAGACATATTGAATAAGTGAATTGATTCATTAGAAGTCTGGAGTTCTTGATGCAGGTGCAAGCCGGGCTGTTGTGACCAAGGCGCAGAACCAAGGCACAAGTGAGGTTTGTCTTCTGTCCTGAGGGCCCTTGCTGCCTCTG